CAAGAAAGAGTGGGCAAGTGCAAAGAAAGATAGCGAACTAAAGGCGATATGTGAGAGCATGACAAATGCGTGTGCCAGCCGAAACGGACGACCTCACAAAACTTTGCAAAATTGATCAAAATTACCCGCGCAAATTCTTTTGATATGTTGAAACTAGTCTGTGTGTATTGTTGGTTTTGAATTTTATGCTTGCCCGAGCAAATAGATCTTTACAAATTGCAATAAATGAAAAAAATAATTGATAATTTTCCCATTTAACAAGCGGCATTTGTTGTCCATTTCGTTGCGCTCTGTGCGCCTAATGATAATTTCGATAATAACTTCGATGCAAATTAGTGATAATTGACTGGCATTCCGTTTTTAGTTTGTCTGTTTGTCTGTCGGTATGTGTTTTCTATATTTTTATTTGCTAAACCTTATCAGAGCTGGGTATACGTAATTTGAAATATAGATTACGTATACGCAACGTTGTTGACGTCATAAACATGACCTGGAAATATTCGAGTTCAAGTTCTAGGTAATCGTATGCATGTAAAACGATTAACTAACTTGATACTGAAATGATATTGAAATGCAAATATCTTTAGATACAAACTAATGCAAACTAAATTAACAATTTAGCCAGAACCTATTAAATATGCATTGAACTGAAACGGAATCCAATTCCAGGGCAAAAACTTAAAAGATTTAAGTTAGTGGATTTTAAAATTGAAATGCATTAAATTTGAATGTTAATGTGCATTTTTTCTTTTATTTAATTGCATTTTAAATATTAACACAGTTTTATTGCCAAGCTTGTTGAAACTGAAAACGCATGCTGGCATGCCAGGCTATTAAGTTTATTTATTTTCATTTCTCTCCAGGTGCTTCTCACTTGCACTAACTTAAATAAACTAGGTAAACGCTGTGCTGCTGCCGGCGATTTCATGGGGTAAACAAAAAACTATGCATATATATATATATATATCTATTCATTTATATGTACAAGAAGAAAGAACAAAACACAAGCCAAGCAAAACGTAACAGAAACGAGATAGAATGGAGAACAGAAAGAGATGGAATAACAATGCCCGACTATATGCATGTGCATGTGTGTGTGTGTGTGTGTGTGTGTGTGTTTATTTATGAGTAGTTTTTCCAAGTTTTATTTTTGTTATTGTTTCTTTTCTTCATTTTTGTTTTTTGTTGTTGTATTAAGTGCAGGTCAAACGCGTGGCCGCCTTTTGCCCGTTTGCTGCTTAAAAATGCGAAAATCTACAAGTGGTTGGGCGAACAAAGCGAAAACCATTATAATAATAATAGTAATAATAATGCTCAAGTGAAAATGCCATTGAAATTGCTTTAAATTAATCAACTGCATCGTTAATAGGATACCGAACAGCATTACTTTTTGCCTTTTAATTAAATAAACATTGAAATGCAATTTAAGGGATTTTAAACGACAATTAAGTAATATCTGTGAGCGCATGATTACGTTTATTTGTATATGTAACTGTTCTTTCTTTAGTCTCACATTATTTGCTCAACACTAGGCACACACTGACTCTTCGTAACACTAATGCTTAACATAACCTTTAACAGCCAGAGTGACCGTGTATACTTCTGTGAATGCCAGCCTTTGATAATGTGACGTCACTATCCTATAACATATATTCACATCTGTAAATTGCATTTAAAATGAAATATGTTGACATTTTTGAAGTGCATTAAGCAGTCGTGGCATAAAACGATACCATATTGATCACTGACAAGTATATTTTGTGCGCATTGTTTTCATTTGTATAATATGCACATAACTTGTTGAATTGGCGTTTTAATGAATTTTCACTGAAATAACGCATACGCCGCGTTGCACACCATTGTGTCGGGTGCTAAACGATTTGAGGCTAATGGCGTCAATAAATTTTCTTTGATATTTATCACGCACCAATTAAGCAGAACAATAGGCGAATTTCCGCGCTGAAAAAGTTCGAAATTAAATACTTTGTGCAACATTTTTTAAATTTCTTAAAGTTTCATATCCGCCACTTTAAATTCAGCCTGTGAGTGGGTACAAAAGATGCAACTAGCGTTGCAATAGTCAACAGATAAATTCTCGAAACAAACTTTAGCAAGACGAGGCTCACACGCACATCAAGTTGCGCCAGCATATGGAAAAAGTTTGCATGCATACAAACAGGATGTGCTTTTTATTTGATGTTTGCGATTTTTGAACTAGAACGAAACTTGTTTCTGTGTAAAAACAAGTTATATTTTAGATGTTTCACAGAAGCCTAAAACAGCGTAGCTGTTGGTTGTTTAAAAAATAAAAGTAAACACTCAAGAGAGAGAAGATTTAAATTTGAGCTCGTTTAAGCGTTTCAGGCATTCCTTGACTAGTTTTGCCAATGAATGAAATGTGTAACATTAAAAGGGAAAATACCTTTCCCGCTAACAGCTTGCGAAGGGCTCAGCTATAAAAGTGTCCTTTCGTCTGTCTGTCTTCGCTCAACTGTATTAAAGCGAAACTTTTCTAATTGAGGCAAGGAGATTTGTCAAGTGTTGCTCACAGATACACATGGATACGTTTAAGTGTGTAAGTTAAAACAAGGTGAAATGCGTTGACAAAATGTTACAACTGTTCGTGTACTCGTTATATTAAATAGAGAAAACAACTTTTTTGTTGCAAGTGTTGAAAGTGTTGGAACTCGCGAAATGTTTTTGATATTTTAACAAAGTGTAAGTCTTCCAGGAACACGCCTTGTTGGAATAACATTTGATATATTAAATGTAACAAACATTTTTCTAGACCCTAGGCACAAAATACAAAATGAAAGAACAACTTAAACTTAAGATGTAGGCTGTACGCAGCTGATATGCAAACATTTTCGCGGGCCAAGTTTTTTTCTTTAAGTTTTGGCTATAATTTTCTTTTCTTTTACAGCAAACTTAAAATGTTTGCGATTTTATGTAAAAATAATATTTATTACTTACCTGCTGTACTAATCCCAAAAGTCTAGACTATTATTATACACACATCACTGCAATTAAAAGAAGTAGAAAGCTGAGTTGAGTAAGTTAGTTAGAGTAACTTAGAGTAAGAGGTTGAGCTAAAAAGAAATGTAAAAGTTATAATCATAGTATGAAGACCTGCAATTTCTATTAGAATTCGTGAGAATCGCATAGATGGGCAACATTTAACATTGCGTTTATATTTAAAAGTTTAATATAGATATTGATGTATGCACTACCATATAATTCAAGAGCTTGAAACTACTTGAATACTTATGCAATTAAGTATTAAGTCGTTAACCGAAAGGAAACTCATTTTCCTCTCGCTCAATTTCCTTTCAGCGAGCGGCAACAAGTGCAGCCTGTCGCCTGCACGGGGCAGGCAATCTTAACGCGCAGCTGGCGGCTGTGAGTTTTCGTTTTGGTGTTGGCTTTCCTCTCTGCCATGGTAAGCCACAATGCGAAAATTGTGAAAACGGAAAATGGCACGAACGCATCCATTATTGTAACAGCCGGCAGAAATGCAACGCAACCAATGAAGACAACAACGACGACGACGACGACGGCGACGACGACGATGATGGCAACAACATTGTCGGCTTCTCTGGCCGACTTGAGCGATCAGGAAAATGGGACGACGGGTAAGTGCGAAATGATTCCAAATTCACACACTCACGCCTCTGGCTAGTCCCTGGCAACGACGAACGAGAGGCAAAGGCAGAAGCTTGTTTAAATCAAATTAGTTTTCGTAAAGGATGCCTCCTTAATTTAAACAATATTTTCGCTCTGCTTTCCAACTAAGCTTTGCGCGTGTTTTGGCGAGATTCGTAACAAAAAGATTTCAAAATTTAAATTGACAAGAGATTTAAGAAAAATGAATATAAGCCTGTGTTTTATATTACTTTTAATCTAGTTTGTAAACTGGTTTTGTGTAAATATCCAACTCAACCGCAGCTGAGGTTCTTTCAAGTAATTCCTTGAACTTGTCTTTTAACAACACCTCGCAACCTTTGAACCCTGTTCCTTTAATAGTTAGTTGGCATTTGTGCTTGGCTCGGTATTAAATTGAGTTAAGCGTTGCCCGTGGCTTATCCTTCCACCGCTCCGGGCTGATGTAACCCCGGCGCTAGTTAATTTGGGCTTGTCACGACAGAATCGGCCCACGCCCATTTTGTGCGCGCGGTACTCTGGAAATTTCTTTGACTTGTCGCAGTTGTTATATTAATTAAATTGCGATTCTTTGTGGCAGGGCTAAAATAATTGTAATTCTCTACAGTTCGGCACGGCCTACGCTGTCTAGCAAAAGTTCAAATAATACTGAGCATAATTATGGCAAAACTTTCACTTTGATTTGTTATTAACCAATATCTTGTGTGGGTAAATAACAAGCTCGTTTTTCTTGAGCCAAAGATAGTTAAAGTTCAAGTTTAATTTAACTATGAATTTGGATATTTTTAAGTTGGGCACACAACAAAATGCTGCGCCAGGACTTTGGGCTGACCAAATGGCAACCTGTTGTCCGTTGTTTGCCGAAAAAAAAAAAACAAATATTGATTGAAGCATGAGGACGGGCTCAAAGTTTTATGAATGAACAAGCGACAAGGCCTTTGGGTGCCCTGAGCCCCGTTTATTGATTGAAATTTGGTATGCCTTAAATAGGCGACCTATGCAAAAAAAAACAAAAACAGGGAGAAGTTATATCTGGGCAGATTTAACGTATTTGTGTGGATGGTGTTTGTGACATTTTTCTGGCATCTCGTTTAATCGAAAATTTCGACAAAGTTTTTTGGCTTAAAGATTTTAAATTGTAAGCAGCTAGCAAATGTTTCAATTATCATTAAAATTTGTCGACGTTTGGGAACGTTTGCAAATTCCAAGAGTATCAATAAAATTAAAAGGGCAGTAAATATTTTAATTTAAAAAATGGAAAAGCGCTTTGGGCTAGTGAAATACTCAACAATGCGTACAGTCTATTAATTTATTTTTGGACATTCGACGAGTCAATTGGGTATTATAGATAAAATAAACAAAAAGTCAAAGCATGTTTATTGATTTACAATTTGTGGCCTTAAAAGTAAGGAATGCCGAAAGAAAGACTCTGAAAACTTGATCTATGTCTAGACATGATACTTCATTTCAATTTTGAGTTCAAACTTTATTTTGCATAAATCCCTTTAGGTGCTCAGCCTAAAGCTTAGCCTCGCCTCGATTCCAAGTTAAATTTATAATAGGAGAGAGCGATATACAGGAAGTATATCGTTGTTACTGAAAATGTATTTTAGGACTGTGGTCAATTATTATAATTAACAAGTAATTAGGTAAATGCATACTTACCGAAACTAAAGGCCACATATATCCAATAAGCAATCAAATACATTTTACTTTCATTGACAATCATATTGGAGCGCATTATGGTCGAAAATATGCTAAATCCTAGTACATAGAGCATCAGACTGCCGGCAAGGATTACATATAAGAATACAAAAAAAGTTATGTGCTAAAAATACAAATTAAGTTAGTTATTGTTACTAAGTTCATCCACTTTATGCTTACCGCTATTGTGTAAATGAACAAGAAAATCGCGGCAATTATCATTAGAAATTCTGGCACCAGCTGAAGCAAAACATTTATATCGGTTACTTGAAACAAAGTACAACATTTTAATCTAAAACAAAAATTAACAGTTTGTAATATGCTTTAAATACTACCTGGAAATAGATATTTTACTCGGGCCACTTTATAGTCTACAAAATAAGGGAAAAACAATTTTGCTTTGATGGAAATGAAATGCAAATTAGGCAAATAACTTTTACCAGTAAGGATCGAGATAATGAAGTCAATGTTTAAGCCAGCGCTAAAAATTGAAAAAAGTGAAATCGCAATGCAGCCCGACCGTAATGACATGCAGAAGCAGCAGCTATTCGCATAACACATCTTTTCGATTCTAATCTAAAAAAAGGACAATTAAAGAAATACAAAAATAATAATATTCGTTTTGAAAGTAAATGCTAAGCTGAGCACTGCGAACAAATCTTCATACTAGTTGCTGTTACTAAATGAAACTCCATTTAATCAATAAACTATCATATTCCCATTTATGTTATTAACGACCAAATTCTATATGCTTGTCAACGTGCTGATAACCAAATTATGTCTGTCATCCTGCCTGTGTGGAGTGTGATTATATTGTTGACTCAATTTTCATTTTAATTCCATTAGCATAAAGATGTGCCTACACACGCACACACACACACACGCACATGATGCTAATGAGGCTATAATATAAATTGCTTAAATTGCAAATAATGCAAAAAGTTAAGCTGAAAGAAGATGTTGCGCATACGCCGCGTATACGCTTAGGATTCCTGAAGCTATTAACAGCAATTTGCTTAAATTGTATATCAACAGCTGAGCAAGCAATAAAACATATGAGTGCGTGTGTGTGTGAGTGTGTGCGTGTGTGTGTGAGTGTGTGTTTGTGAAGTATATAAATTATGCATACGCCATGTTTAAGACAAACGAAGAAAATTTGCAGACATAATAGAATAAGTCTAATATGTTAGCCGGAAACTCACTTTTGCTCCGAATCCTCTGAAAGACGAGTTCATTAATTTGATGAACTTTAAGAGTACTCAATGCCTTAATCAACTTTACGGCTTTGTCCAGCTCAGCGTTAGTTGGGTTTAAAGCGAAAACTTGTGTTAAAGATCTTGAATGGAATGGAAATTGCGACTTAATCTTGAACATGGTTGAGCAGGCTGGTTGCCCTTTGGGGCAACAACTTGGACCTCAACTTGCCTGCAACAGCAACAGCAACAGCAAGTTCAACAAAGTTCCGGCAACCGCTTGCACTTTGTCTCCAGGACTTCAGCAGGACTTGGCCGGCTTCATTCTTACTTGCTTCATTGTTTTAATTGAAGGCAGCTGCTGCGTCTACTGTCTTGGTGGTTTCACAAATTATGAGTGCAATCAATTGGCAAACAGTTGATTATGTCTGCTCTAATAATTTGCTATAAATTTACAAAATTCCAAATTTTCCCTTTTAATAAGAACTTGGGCAAACTGTTTAAACATGATAAGCGAGAGTTTAGTTCCTTTCTATAATGCAGTTCGTTGTATAATAGAATCCCAGCTTAGCTAGAGGCTTCCCTTTCTCATTATATATGGCTATATTGTCAGAATATTAGCAAATAGCTCTCATATATGGCACACTGCGGGGAGAGGCTCATTCTTCTCACATAATTAGATCATGAGCAATGCATATGTCAGCTTTCATGATTGATTGCAGCATCAATTAATTCGCCATCAATGGTCCAGCATCAAATGTATTTACCAAAGTGTTGACGAGCCCTTAAAAACAAGCAAAAATAAACACAGAAAACAAGTAAGAGGTTCTAGTCGGGAGCTCCCGACTAGGGGATACCCTTGCGATAGGCGATAGGTATAAAATGAAAAATACTTGATATTTATTTACTATTCTAGAAGCTACATGTCAAGTTTGGTGACTCTAGCTCTTATTATTTACCAAAATTGCTCAAAAAACAGGATTTCGATATCGATTTGTATCGATTACTTGGAAACGGGGCAAGTTATCGAATATCGGATACAAATTCGATCTGCGCGGGCACTAGGAGGACCTACAGCCAACATTTCAAGTCTCTATCTCTTATAGGCTCTGAGATCCTTGCGTTCATACATACGGACGGACAGACGGAAGGACGGACAGACGGACGGACGGACGGACGGACAGACAGACGAACATGGCTATATCGACTCGGCTTTTGATGCTGATCAAGAATATATATACTTTATGGGGTCGGAGATGCTTCGTTCTGCCTGTTACATACATTTGCACAAATACATAATACCCCTTTTACCCATTTTCAATGGGTTCAGGGTATAAAAACACTAAGCGACCATATAAATAATAGCGAAAAAATAAAATCAATGGCCACACATCCTCGGGGCCTCCCTAGCAGGGAGTACCACAGGAGCGGGAGCAGAAGCAGTAGCGGGAGCGGGAGCTAGGAGCTCATCCATCATCATCGAGTGGATGCCTGTACAGTTTGCACTCCACACACACACACACACACACAAACGCACAGAGCTCACACCTAACGTATTTATGGCATCTTAATTGAATTTCAATTTTCAATTTCGCCTTTTAATTGAATTCAATGAAAAAGTGTCGATGAAACGGTATTCAGTGCTTTGTGTGCAGCTCCCCCCATGTTGCCACAAGCCCCGATCCCTGCCGCTGCCCCTGCCCGAGAGCTCCGGCTCTATGCTCAGCTTTGTTGATGCCTACATTTTGTTGTTGTTGCTGTTTATTCAGCTGTTGCTGCTTCTGGGATCGTCACCAGGGGAGACGCGTCGTCGATGGCGCCAACGATGCGACAAGCCAACCAGCTCCGGTCCCAGCCCCAGCCCCAGCCTAGTCTGGCATTTGCAGCCCGAGCTCCCCCTTTGGCTGGCGAATCCATTGCGCCCGCAATTGGCCTGGTCTGATTGCGCTTGAATATACGTTTTCACAGGGCTGGGTTTGTGATTGACTGCAAAGTTGTAAATTGATTGGCCAGCAAAAATATGGGCAAGCCGAGATAAACAAACCATTTGGCCAGCATAATGTGCAAATGTCAGAAATTGAACTCTATTAGATAATTGACACTGACTTTTAGCGTCCTTTGAATTGTACATTTTACAAAAAAAAATAGGTTAAATAGATATTCATTTATGATCTATATAAGCTTGGACTTTTAGGACTTAGCAAGGTTTCCTACATAAGCGACATAGATTCCTCTTTTCTGTTAGGGCGTCTTCAATTCTCTTACACATATCTAAGAGGGAGTTTAGGGTGTTATAAAAAAAGTTAATAGCAGTATTCATGTCAACCGAGTCATATAAGAAAGACCAATCGGTTGCATAAATAAGCTGATTCAGCAAGGAATAGTTTCCTTTGCGAAAGCAACGGCGGGGCTTATTGGCTGATGAGCACGAAATGAGAGGATTACAATTGAACATTGCAACCTCTAAAGTAGGATGATATACATCCTCAGGAAGAGATAAAGGAGGAGACCTAGATACATTAGAAATAAGGTAGTCGTTAACAAATACAAGATCAAGTGTTCCATTCAAATGATTAGAAATTGAATTGATTTGAAACAACGAAAGGTCAAGCATGCAATCTATAAAGTCATGCTGTGCTGAGGGCACTAAATAATTTTCGGCAGTGAAAAGTGACCAAGAGATGTTCGGCAAATTAAAATCACCCAACACAATTAATAGATCATTATCACGCACGTGTGAAGAAACTTCTTTAATACAAGAAATATGTTTCATATAAACTTGAATATCAGAAGAAGGAGGAACATAAGAGCATGTAATATAAATATTCCGTGTAGGAAAAGACACCTTGACTGAAACAATCTCAGCGTCAGTAGGCGTACTAAAACAGAAAAGTTCTGACTGGAGAGTGGCTTTAACGGCAATTAATACCCCACCACCTCGAGTCAGCCGATCATTTCTATGCAAAATAAAATTATTCGAAAAAACCTCAAAATCAGATATGGTTGAATTCAACCATGTTTCTGAAAATGCGATTATATCCGAATCGAAGGAAGTGCTGGCCATGAAAAGATTTTTGAGTTTTGAAATGAGACCTCTGACCATTCTGATAGTGAATAAAGACTTGGTCAGAAGAAGAAGTTAGTTTTTTGGGGCAGAAATGGTACCCTGTATTGAAGGGACTGGAAGGGTGACAGGCTGGTTACGCTTTTTTGGCTTGAACTCGTGCTAGACGTGTTCCGTCTAGGCCTACCAGGAATTATCGCCCCTTATTTCTACCTACGTGCACAACAGATTACGCTATTAACAATTCTTTTCACGTGTTGTGCAAAAATTACAATAGTTTGTATCACGTTTTCTCAACCGAACTTTCTCTACCCCTAATAAAATCGTTGCTTTCAGATACCTTCGGAAACTCACTGACCACTCCCAGCTATAAGCAGGGGCATATCTTGCCGGACAGTCTATCTATTTTCCCCCATATTTTCCCATTACTATCTCTTTATCCCATCTATATGCACGGGCATAGCTTGTCGGACAGTCTGTATATTTTCCCCCATATTTTCCCATTACTATCTCTTTCTCCTAGCTACCTAAAACTTTATATATCTAGTACAAATTTATTTACTTTATTAATAAATTCTTTCCTAACTTTTTCCTATTTATTGTATTTTTATAAATATTTAAGATTATTTTTAATTTTTACTTACGAACACTATTTTCTCTACTAACAGCCTTCTTCTTAGACGTAGGCAAAATTAATTGTGCAAAAGGGGCATAGCTGGCCGGACTTGCAAATAAAACGGACAATAAAACAACAAAATTGTGCATTCTAATTAGGCTTTTAGCACTTAATTTTTATAATTTGATATATTGAATAATTAGGAAGACAATCGTTTTTGTCGACCAGTTAATAAATACTGGACAACCAGTGCAACCATCTTGCAATAAACCTTCTCGACAACAACCTGCTCCACCCACTCGACCTGCCTTTTAGGCCGTCTAAAGAGGGTTTAGCCCGTTTCAATTACCACTGCCAATACACACAAAAACCACATGCAAATATCTACACCACATAATTTACTCATTATCGATGATAATAATATAATATAATGATAATAATAATATAATATTTATAGATCGCAAAAAAATATTAATAATAAATCAATAAATAAATAAATTTAATAAATAAATAAAAACCAATTTGGCCAACAGTTTGCAGTTCAAATAACTGAGCATTCAATTTGTATCTGTAGCTGCCTCTGCATATACTTATCTGACTGGCTCTGACTCTGGCTCCGGCTCATTATGCGGTGTCATGCGCTATATGGCAATCATTGTCGATGCTGTCGATTACCACCCAGAACCCTCGTTTGCATTCATCATGCATGGCTGTGGCTGTGTATATTCTGGCTTGGCACATATTAGATTTATGCCACTCAGCTAGTGGAAATGTCAGACAATATGAACGGATTTGCATGCCGGGGTTACACATGGGCCACACACCCACACCCACACACGCACACACACCCACACACGCACACACACCCACACATACTTAAGTCTACATCTATGAACATGAACGAGTATTAGACGACATTGCCCAAAGATAAAACGAGCTGGGAAAAGTAGAAGAACGAAAAAACAAGCAGCATATATATGTAAATTGCTCTGACAGTGGAAATGCGGCCTCATCCATTGTTGGGATTTCTTTTTATTACTAAAATATGCATATTACTTACAATTTGACGAAGCTATGATTCGGCTTGTTATGCCCGTGCCTTTTGATCGCGGCTTGGGTGTAAGGATAGCTTGGGCAATCATAAATCGCATTTGTCTGGCAAATCGTTGGCTGCTCGCGGCAAATTCAATTTGCATGTCACTGATTTTTTTATCTTTCATATTAAATTCACATTTGCGACAAATGGCACATCGTTTGCCCGGTGGGCTTAACTCTGCTATTCCATCGATATCGACAAAGAACTAAATAAACTGCAGCTGTTGTCTATCTCAAGTCTTAGATGACCACTTTCAATGCTCTGAGCGCTTTAAGATGCGCAGTGCCTAAAAGTGTTTGCCTTGAAGCATTGAGTCATAAAAATACATGCTGAGTAACAGACAAGTGCATCTAAATAAATTGAGCTTAAAAAGAACAGGCTAAGTGCAAGCACGTAGTCTGTATTGGGAACCCGAAAAAAAACGAAAAAGGGCCATCTTCGGTACGATGAAGATTTAATACCCTTGCATACCCACGGTTTTCATACAAGTACCGCATTTTCGACCGTTCGTTCCTATGGAAGCTATATGATATAGTGGTCCGATCCAGCCGGTTCCCGCTTATGTACTGCGTGCAACAGAAAGAGGACCGAATGCAAAGTTTCATGACGATAGCTTTAAAACTGAGAGACTTGTCCGCATTGAAACAGACAGACGGACATGGCTATATCGACTCGACTGTTGATACTGATTAAGAATATATATATTTTATGGGGTCTCCTTCTATGCGTTACACATTTAACGACAAAATTATAATACCCTCTGCAAGGGTATAACAAGTTCGGAGCGCATGAGTAGAAAACACCCGGAACCTTCTTCTACCTTCAACTAACCTCACAGTCATATCAAGAATTCAGTCTCAATGAAAACAAAATGAACTAAAATATATAAACACAGCAAGGTAAACGAAACAATTGCAAATGAAATTCTATTTTTGTGTCTGTATGAGTAACTGTGTGCACATGCATACAGACATTGTACAGACATTTTCTTCAACAACTTCTATGTTTCTTAACGGATCTTGATGATATTTTCAGCAGTTGATCTTATTGTGCTATAACATATTCGTATGTTCTCAAAAAGACAATAGCAATAAAATAGTGGCTTGAATTGGTATGTAGTTTGTATTATGAGGAAGCGTGGTGACGGCATGCTATAAAATATTTTGATATAGATTTTTATCAGTTGCTTGGAAACGGGGCAAGTTATCGATTGTCGGAAACAAACTCGAATTGAGCGGGCAGTGAGAGGACCTATGTTCAAAAAGTCAAACCTCCATTTTCTGGGAGCGCGTTAAAGGCTTTCATACATACGGACAAACGGGAAGACAGACGGACATGGCTAGATCGACTCTCCTATTGATGCTGACCAGGAAAATGTATACTTTCTGGGGTCAGAAACGCCTCCTTCTGCCTGTTACATACATTTGCACAAACCATTATACCCTTTTAACGCATTTTTAATGGGTGTAGGGCTTAACAAACTTGAAGTTCTATAATCAGCAAACTTGGCAATCGATTCCAGGTTTGTAGAGGCCTTGCAAGATGTTTGATTCTTAAACTCGTTGTGAATTTTAACGACAAACAGCAAGGCGAGCAAAATCAGAATATTTATGTATGTTTTTCGTCAGTTAAATAAATTGACATACTTAAAAATTGATAAATAATTATAGTAAAAGTGCAACTCAGCTTAAACTTTTTACAGCTTAAGCTACATGCTATTGATTTTATTAAAGCCAACTTTCGCTTGAGAAAACTAAAAACGAGTCAAAAAATGAGATTTAAGGCTTCTCAAGGACAGATGCCAAAGTCTGGCTGAACTATTCTCCGTTTGCAATATTGAGAAGCTAAGCGTTTTGCACTCAAATGGCTGATTGACTGACACGCTCTGTTTCTGAATGAAGGTAACAAATACGAGACGACTCAACGAAATGAAATTGGAAAAAGTGCGTGGCACTGGTGACAAGTTCAACGGCGAGCTGTTGGGTTGGCCTGGGCTTTTGTCTTAGGTGGCCATTATTTAGGGAGCACACGCACAACAATAAATACATGGGGAGGCCATCTTTGTGTACTAAAAAACATTGCAAAATAGTCGCACATTGTGTGCAAGAGAAACAAGCGAAATACGTGCCCGGGTGTCGGCATTCTTGTGCCGTCTTTCTGCACAGTGGTCGAACTTATATTTAAATGGAGTCAGAAGAGCAAAAACATGAAGTTCCTTAAAATTAAGTTATATATAGCAGCATATAGTTGCATTGTCTTGGTAAAATATATTTTCAAAATTTTGTCAGTCAATTTTTAAGAAATTTTCACTGTGCAACAGTTCTAGTTGTCAGTTTGGCATTGACACTGCCCCATGGCAAAAGTGTTCGACTGCAGCTTGATTAATGCGATGGCATGCCATTTTCTTTTTTACCTGTCGTCCCCATCTCTGCCATTGGCAGATTCTGTGGGAAACTGGGAAATTTGTATGGCCTGCGCTTTGTGTGTCGCCAATTTGTGGGGCAGCTCCACAATTCTTGATGATAGCTTTCAGCCAGCATTCGCATTCACATTATTCATTAAGGCCAAGCTGTTGATTACTTTGGCAGAGCTGTTGATTTATTTTGTGGCCGGCGGCTTTGTGGCCAACAGTTAAATCGTAAACGTGTTTACTGCCAATTGAATCAGTGCAAACTTTGGAATTGCGGTAAGTGCAAGGCATTTAGACAACTTTAAAACCACATGAGTAGAGAACTTGACAGTTTGTCATATTAGCGAAATATCTAGTTAAGTCTAATTTATTAGAAAATATGCATTGAATAATAAATTGACTGGAATTTCACAATAAATACAAATCGATAGCTTTTTAGTGAGCTGATTATTGGGAACTTTGGAGAAAATCCACGGCAATGTTTGCCGTATAAATGGAGGCGACTGAAACGTGCGGCCGGACCATATTGTTGGCCTTGGCATGCGGCACACGGTGCCGTGGCATGGCTTGTGATAGTACTTGCCACGACTTCGGGCACGTAATTTACAATCTTGCAGCAGGTGGTGTGCTGCTGCGAATGCTTGTTGTTGCGGCAGGCTGCAGTTGCAGTTGCCCTTGAGAGAGATTTTTGCTCGTATTTTGTTGCTTTTTATGTGTGTGTAAACTGTACACACGGCGTATGTGTAATATAAACAAGCATGTGGGTTTGGTCAAAAAAAAAGTATTGCATATCTTCTGGCGCATATCGAAAGAATTTAATGAATTTTTAAAACGAAACTTATCACTCAAACATGGTTCAAATGAATATCCGGAAAATTTGACGTGTGGTCATCAATCTCTGGCACACAGGACACTTGCATGTGGCGCGCAATGCGGTCTTGATGCAACTGCTGCAAAACACGTGACCGCATATGGTCGAGGCGGGTTTCCGTTGACGCACACATTTCAAGCAGACCGGACATTTGTACGGTTCCATGTGCGACGCCATTGGCGTCGCCGACACATCCGATTCCTTTTTTCTCGCCGACGGCTGCTCCACAGTTAGGCGACCTGGTGAGGCCGATCTGATCGGGTTGGGCGGCAATGGAGGCAATCCTACATTGGTGACGCTGGCCACATTCGATCCCCCAATCATTGACAATGGCGGCAGTCCGTAGGAGATCTCTTCCAGAGTGCTTGTGTGACGATGTCGTACCGGAACACTGACAGCTGGTATTGCCAAAGCCGAAGCGTTCAGACTCAGGTCGATTCTTGACAGAGGACCTCGTGTCGGAGGTGGCACACGTACAGCAGTTGGCAGTGCAGAGCCAATTAAATAAAATTCACGACTAGGCTGCTCTGAAGTCTCCGCGGGCTTATCTGCAAGTTGTTTAAAGGTGAGAGATGGGAGATAAAGTCCCTCTGTACAAACAGCAAAAGAGAAAATTGGAATGTCCGTCTGTCCTTTCGGTGCTATTAAAGCTAGTGTTGAAATTTTGAATATATACAATTGGATATTTGAGCACGATTACCCATGATTACCCGCATATGATGAGATTTTCTAAACCTATAACCCCCACTGGCTTAAAGCTAGTCATAAAATCAAGTAGATAGGGCATCTACTTCATTCCCGCCTTCCCCTTTTAAGTCCCTAACACAGTCGAAAAGAGTATCTCGCAGTCATGTTGATACTTACTGCTCACAGTACCCGATCCAACCCTTGCCATAGTCGACTCTATGTTCTCGCATTCGAGTTGTACTGCATTTAAAAGGGGTGAATAATGATTACTCCTACTCTTACTTATCATGGAGTATGCAGATCATTTGCTTACGGCGTGTTAATTCCGCATCCATATTCCTGTAGTCGAGCAGACTGGATGTCCAGGCCTTATCGTTATCATTTCGAAGCCAATCCAGGCTATTGGAGCTGGAGCTGACGTGGGCGGTTTCACCGATGCCGTGCGTCCTGTTGCTTGTGGCAGGAATATTGGCATCATAGTTTTTGTATAACAAATTGAAATACTGATCGTCCATCAAACACTGATCGACCATTGCTCGCTCCAAGGCGAACTGTAAAAACAGTTTCTCAAAGAGTTGACCACAAGCCAAAGATGACGCTTACCTGGGAACGACGTATTGCGTGCGACATTATGTTATTTGTAGTATTCGAATCTCCGTTGACTCTAAACATGATGATTACCAGAATTTATTAAAGCTGACAAAAATAAACTTCATCTGCAGCCTATTTTAAACTAACTGATTCGGCTTTTTGACCATATTTACATGGCTCGCCTGATTGTCATATAACATTTTTAATTTAGCTAGTATTTGATCTCGTCAAGAGGATTTCAGCTCAACCCCTCACATTGTCAATCCAAATTCAGCGCATTACAAATTTACTCGAAGGGGTCTTTTTCGCTGAATGCCTCGACATGTGTCTGCACCTACTTAATCACAGGGAACCCAGTGAAAAGCCGTTGCGGCTTTTCCTTTACGATACTGTATCGTATTAAATCTATGCCAAAAGCCTTACAGTCAGCATCGCTCTGTGCCCTGCCAAACTCTTCAACTGTTTCGCTTTAGACGCTTTACTTTTTATGACCTACAGCGCAGCAATGCCGTAGACACACAAGCGAATCTGTCATCCTTTCACACACACATGTGTGAGTGTGTTTGTGCGCGTGTGTGTGAGAGTGAATGTATGGTTGGGTGTGAGTGTGAGTTTAGCCAACGCTTTCAAAAGAATTTCTGTTTGATTGCAGAGAATAAACAAGTGAAGGCAGCCGCTGCACGCGGCAACGACTATTTCCGAGGGCTGTTCAGAAAGTAATGCGTTCTCTTAGACATAGGCCAGAAAGTTGCAATAAGGCAATAAATAACTAGCTGACAAGTTATTTTTCTCAAAAATAAATAATATTATGCAAAATATGTGCACATTATATATATCTTCTCTATTTGGACTCTTTTTATAGATATATAGAGATATCTTACAGGTTAATTCGCGTTCTCTCTTACATATACTAAAAAGTTGCATTTATGCAATAAATAAAGACCTAATAAGTTATTTTTCCCGAAAATTAATAATATTGTGCAAAATAGGAACGCATAATATATTATATAATCTCTTCTTGGGTAGTTTTTATAGATATATTAGAGATATATTACAGGCTAATGCTGCTTATCTTATACATATGCAAGAAAGTTGCAATAAGACAATAAAAAAAGTCTGATATGTTGGTTTTCCCGAAAATAAATAATATTGTGCGTAATATTTTCACATAATATATATCTACTCTTCTTGGCCAGTTTTTATAGACATATTAGAGATATAATACAGGCTAATGCGCATTCTCTTATACATATGCTAATAAAATTGCATTAATGCAATTTGTAAAGGGCTAATAAGTTTTTTCCCGAAAATAAATAATATTATGCAAAACATGAACACATAATATATTATATCTTCTCTATTTGGGCTCCTATTAGAGATAAGTATATTACATATATTATATACATATATGCTAGAGAGTTGCATTAATGCAATAAATAGACGGCTGATAAGTTGAAAATAAATAATATTATGCAAAATAGGTACACAATAGGTACTCTTCTCTCTATTAAAGATATATTACAAGTAAATGCGCCTTGCAATATCGTGCATATTGTAGCGACTGCTACTAACTAGTTAATCTACCCTCGTCAATAAGTGACTGGGTTGATTTGGTCTCCATTTTGCCTGCAGCATGTGCTGCTGAGTTTAACACACATCCTGTCAGGGTATGCGACATTTATCCTTAATGCGCGTTTCAAGTTTGTGGCTGAGTGCGGTTTTTTATGCGCAGCTGCTAGAGTTAACATAAAAATTGTTAAATATCATATTAATAAAAATAAATGCATTAAAATCATTTATATCCTTTATTGATGTTGATTTTGCAGTCTTTATTGAGTTGAAGGGGAGCTGAAATGTCATACCCTTTGATATATGCTTGTGTACTCAATGGATACTCAATCAAATTTTGTATTCAATGACATATTTTAACCTATCAAGTAAACTCGCTGATTCGATAAAGTCGTGTCTCCTTGTTCTGTCCTTTCGATTTCATTTTCGGTTATTGTTCAACAGATATTTTATAAAAAATTGCATTATCATCAAATTTCTTATAAGAAAGAAGTATAAGAGCACACTTAAGTGTTTTTATCTTTACTCGCAAGTAATTTGCCCAACTCAGTTGGCATTCAGTTAATTAATCAGGCTGCGTGTCAACTGCAGAGGCCGGCAGCCAGACGCACTTGACCCGTCAAGTGTGTTCGGCCATTCACAAATACATTCACCTTTAATAAAAACGCTCTTGAATATATTTGTGAGTTTTCTTGGACTGGATTGGGAAAAAAATCGATGCTGGACTCGCCTGCATAGTATAAAATTTAAGCAATATAAACAATCAACACCTGGCCCAGGTTTGGCCCCCTAAAAATAAACAGTTCTCACACGCACACACACACACACGCACACACACACACTCTGGGAGGCCAGATATCGAACAGTGTCCAACAATGTCTGTGCCATAAATAAATCAAAGAATTCAAATGCCGCCAATTAGCAGGCCACATGGTTACTCTCCGTATCGATTTACATACGCACAGAAATAAAATAAACCACAACACAAAGCAACAAAAATATGTTAATTTTGATGTGTTGAGCAATCGAAGGGCGTTCTGACCTTTCCATTTTGACTCTATGTGTCATCCTAATGAGGTATACAATTGTTTCTCTCTGTGTGTGTGTGTGTGTGTGTGTGTGTGTGTGGGATGTCTGCTAACTGCATAATTTATAATTGTGCTTAACAAACGTTTGCATAATTTGCTGATAATTGTTTTGCGTTTGTTCGTTTATTAACGAGAGTTTTAGCCACAATTGTTTTTGTGTAATTGATATATGCTCCTTATACCCTTTAACCAAATGGGCATAAAAAAGGGGTTGACTGGTTTTATGCGATGCTATGTAACAGAAGGAAGCAGCTACGAGTCAAGCTGGTCAAAGACTTTAAATTTGATTTAATTAAAATTTTATATATTATAAGAAAGGGTATTCAGTGTAAAGGATGGATTTTTTCTAGAATATGTATCTATGAGCTTATACACAAACCAGATTCACAAGATTGTGGTTTGTGCTCTCGTGAGGATTACACAGAATAGTTCGAATTTAACGTTTTGAAGATCTTTCCCAATCTGCCCTTAATTAAACGTATCCTTGTTTTTGGACACATTCACACATTTGATTAGCATCTTTAAGCCCTAAACATTTTAATCCGATCAGACAATAGATAACTTATTCACAAATACAATTTCCATGAGGTTCCAAGGCAAAAAGGAAGCCCAAACGCAGCGTAAACTCAAAGTTGATTATAGGCTATCTTTTAGAAGGACACTCTTGCTTGTTATTTATTAACAGGACATTTGATGAATTCAATTCTTTGGTCTCAACTTGAATGTAGCTTAAATTCCTGCTACAATCCAAATAATCTATATTTATATATTTATTATTATAATTGGGGGGCACACGAATATATAAAATTTCATAAGCGCCACAGTTGAAATGTTGGGCAGCTTTTAGCTGTGCCGAGCGCGTACTTAAAGCAAATTGCCCATTTAACACGCAAAGCTAATGGGCAAAAACAACTGACTTTTTTGTTTGCTTGCAGCTGAGGATATACACCTGAACGATTTATATACACGCTACCGGCAGAGGCTGCGCAAGTCGCTCTTCAGATCGGGCCTGGTCACATCGCTGGTCGCCTGTGTCGTGTCCATAATAATTGGCATCGTTTACGAGCAGGTAAGAGCATCGGCATTGGCACTAACACCTGGTCGTTGAGAGTAAATGCGTGTTGGGGATTACAGCACCTGTTGCAGACCCTGCTGCTGGTATTGGCTGCCCTAATCTCTGGCTCGATACTGACGGCGCTGCAGTTTCCGGCGGTGCTCAGCTCGCCAGCGGCAGCCTTGGCCTTTGCCATTGTCACCACCTTCTCGCTGGGCACCATTGCGGCCATCACCGGCGGCGAGCTGGCTCCCCTGCCCATGTACGCCCTGTTTCTGGTAAGTAACTGAATCGCTGGCGTGGATTATTGGATATGTGCTTTAATGTGTGTCTATTGCTTAACAGGGCATCCACACGATGCTGCCCATTTCCTGGCCGGTCTCCGTGGTGCTGGCGTTTTTTATGACGGCCGTACACATCGTTTACAGAATCGGCACCAGTCCGGAATATGCGCCCAACCTACCCATGGTAAGCTTTTATTTGCATTTCCCATTTCGCATTGCATTCGCAATAAATTTGCGGGTGAGTGGCATTTTATTTTTGTTGCACATGTTGAGAATATATTGAGGGAAAAGTATTCATGTTACTTTTCATCATCCGAAAAGTGCCTTACAGTTAAAACGCATTGTGTTTTTGCCTTAAGTTCACATTCCTAGTTACTTTTTGTTTTTCCGCGTTTGCACGCGAAATATGATCAATATGAGACGCTGTGTAACTAAATGTACAAACTGATTATAATACGAAAATCAAACTTGTTAATTATTTAAATGAATTATCATCACAAAAAACTAACGACAAAAACTGCAATCCTTACTTGAATTCATGAAAATCGCATAGAAAGGCGATATTTAGGATATGATGAAGGCTTATGTATGAAAGAGAGGATTCTCCATCGTTCCTTTCTTTAAAAATGGCCTTCTCAAAGGATTTGCTTGAACTCACAAAATACCTATTATAATTTCTGTCTGGGAGATAGTTGCTGCATGCGAATTTAAATTGCCAAGAAACTTTGATTTATCATAGAATTCGTCACACATTATAAAGCATGCATAAAGTATGCATTATCTGTGCAAATTAATTGGCTGTCAATTGCAATTAGTTATATAAATAACTAAACCATAATTGGCCAATTAATATTGGCATAACTATTTATTGCCACTAACATGAAAAGCTCGAAATACTACATCTGCTTTACAGCAGGCAATCAAATAACTTGGCCAACTTTTGGTAAAATTTTCCCTGGTTCAATTGCGCAACACAATTGGTACGCAATCCACCCAAACCCATTGCGTGGGTATTGTGTCAGAGTTAATTAGCTGGGACACAATTGGATGTTGGGAATTCCGATTACGGGTCTGTGGTAAAACGTTGTTGGGTTCGGTTGCCGCCTGCCAATTGGCTCTATTATTCAATGTTCTCGACATGACCCCATTTAACTCTCTCTCTCTCTCTGTCCCTC